GAATCGAGTGACGCGCAGCATAATACAAGTTCTGCACAGATGCCTTAAGGCGAGCGGAGGAGTTGCTCGCCGAGTGCAGGGAGGAGCGCTGCAGCGCAACAGATCAGAGCCGCGACAGGTGTTGGCGACGTGGGTTCCGGGTGGTTGTGTCGAGCGGGACTTTGGGTTTCGGACTTGAGGCTCGACTCTTCGCTCCGAACCGTTTCTAGAGAGACGTCTCCCTGGGCATCACGGTTCCCGGAATCCTCACATCTCTGGAAAAGGCCCGAAGGTTTAGGCTTAGACCCAGAGCCCAAACCCTAAGCCCAAAGCATCCTTCAGGAACCTCGGAACCTCTAAGCCCTAAAGTCCCTAAAGCTTCGATTTCGTTAAAGGGCGGGCTCCACAGCAGAGCCGACTGCGGCGCAGGAGGAGCTGCGAACAGAAGAGCTGGAAGCCAAGGCCGGAACAGCGGTTTAGCAGATCCTGGTGTGTATTTAGGGGCCTTTGTTATGGTAGGCTTGGCTTTTGACATAAGTTACATGGTACAGCAGTTCTAGCATAACGACGGCAGGGAAAACTATGACGTTGCTTCTTGGCCTTCGGGTTTGCCGGCAGCCTGCCCTTCTTGCAGAAAAAGTCTGTGGCCGGCTCTTGGTAGGTGCAGCAAGCGAGACAAGCGAAGCAGGCACTCCGGGAGATCGTGAAGTCTCTGTAGGCAGTTCTAGGAGAAATAGAAATTCCGCTTCCAAGGAGTGGCTTTGGCTTTTGAGCCGCATAGACTGTTGATGACGCCAGGTTGCGGTCTTGCACTCGGGATCAAGCTTTGGCTTCTCTAGATGGGGTCATCTGCTCTGGTATGAAAAGCATGAGTCAATGAGGCATGCTGCTGTCACTTCAATCCGCTTCAATCCTGTAGTTGCCCTCGAGATGCTTTTTAGGCAGACCCCCCACTTAGACTTCCTTTTTTAGCTTCTCGTCGTGTTCTTGGAGGCAGCGGATTCGCCGGCAGCGAAGGCCCGGGCCCGAGCTCTCGAAGCCCTGGAAGGCCAAGTCCCGAGACCTCTTTCGGCCGCTCCTAATTGGCACAGAGAGTTCTCCCATATGAATCCTTTCTCTTTTTGTGGAGGACCCGGTGCTTGAATCACCGACACCTGGAGCTGTCAAAGAAGCAGGAGGCTGGCAAGCGATTGGGTTTCCAGAATCCGCAATGAAAAGCTTTGTGGGAGCAGAGTCCCAGCGCATCCTCATCCAACAGATCTCCACGGAAGCTGTGCACTTTTAACACCCGAGCACCTCAGCATTAGACGTCGTGATCCCAAGCCCCAAAGCTGAGAGTACTTATCTCCTCAACTCCGTATACTCTAACTCGTGCAACGCTGTTGCATCCTCCATGGTCGGAGGGCCGAAACCAGCGGATCACGATCGTGTCTCGTCTGACAAAGAGCTTTAGGGTTCAATGTGATTGGTTTTTGCATGGGGAATACTGCAACTCCCCACAAACCTAAGACTACTGTGCACCAAGGCCGTGTTCTGTATTTCTTCAGTCACCCATGACAGCCCAATCCCAATAGCTCTAGACAGCCAGCTCTTGTTGCTGATTGTGGGTCTGGTGTGTTACGCATGACTCAGCTAGGACAGGTCTTCACAGTGGTTGCCACACTTGCAGTGGCCCGCACGCCGTGCTCCGTGCTCAAAGGCTTCTTAGATCTTGTCACAAACTCATGTTGTTATTGCTACTTCAGAAGTGGGTTTTGCGTGCATCGTCGTCGTCGTCGTTGCAATCGTTGCTGAAGTCGTTGCCGTTTTCGTGGTAGCCGCTGCTGCTGTTGTCGCTGTTTTAGTTAATTAATCAGTGTTTTGTGTCCACTACACCTCGAAGTAGCATAAGCTAGCAGTCTCGTGCGTGATAGTACTGCTGCTGATCATGGAAGTTTTTAGACATGCTAAATCGAAAGCCGTACAACTTAAAGACCTCCTGAACCCCAGCAGACGCCCCCCAAAACCCCACAGCACCCGAATAAAGACCGGAGGCTCCCGGGAGTGTTTGACTCCCGGGAGCCGTCGCCGCCATGCATCGCTTGCGGCGCCGGTCCGACCAGCTCTGCCAGGAAGGCGTTGACGTCCGGGGGGGCTCTGGGTTTCAGGACGTAGTTTCAGGATCAGAGGGACGTACGTCTCTCGGTTGACTGCAATCTGTGGGGACACCCTGGCTCTTGGGCATTGAGAGACCGATTAGCGCTAAGGGGCTCGAATTTTGACGAGCCCTCGTGTTCTTGGCTTTTCTCGCTGGGCGTCCCGCACAATCCGGAAGTCTGCGATCGTATCAGGCTTCAGCCTTCAGGAAGAGGGTGTGAAACTCTTCTTTGCTTGCCTTCTTTGCTTCTGGAACAGGGTGCTAAAGTCGGAGGATCCGTGCTGCACACAACGTGAAAGGAAAGCGAGGCACAGGTTTACTGGCCGTTTCAATTCCAGAAGAAGCCTATGTCGGCGAACTCCTTCCCGAGACATCCTAAAGCTTCCCCGTGGCTGCATGTGCTGAAACCCAAGCTCTCTCCTTGTATGACTTGACTCTGGCGTGGGTGCAGGGTTTTTGGATCTCGGCCAGGATGTTGTCGAACGATTCCCCACTGTAGGGTTCCTTACTATGGCTACACTGTGCCGGACGCCCAAGCCCGATTCTATTAATTCAGGTCCCTATATTTGGAGCCTCTCCAGAAAAGCTGCTGACCTTTACGGCTGCTCGCCTGCTCAAAGAGGCATCTTCCGGGCGGCCTCGGCGAAATTGGTGCTGTCCAGTTGGGGCAGAACCTTCGCCACAGCCGAGGCCTCCCAACACACTTAGGAGCTGGGCCTCAGTCTTCACAGTCTTTTTTGAGGGGGTGCAAGAGCTCGGAGAGACCCGCTGAGACGAGGATCCGGAAGACACGGCGTGTCAAAACACAGGGCCAGAACCGTCTGAACCGTTTGCAGCCCCACATCTTTGCAAGGATCTAAGAAGGCTCACTGCTAGAACCAGAGATGACTGTGGAAGCACATTTTCCGTCAGGGCGAAGAAGCATCTCTCTGTCTCCATGTCCCCTGACTTCAGCCGTTTCCTGTCCCGGCAGTGATCGCTTCAGGCATTTCTCCAATGATCATGCCTCTAGTATAGCAGTGTAGATTGCGTCGATGCAGTCTCTTTCGTGGCACGTTTATGGATCTCGTCAACGGGATGGGTATTACTCTGAATTTAATTGGTCCGCAGCTGCATTGCCCGTACTCTGGCACAATGCATCCCCTGCTGTTGACAGGAGCAGACGACGGTTGACCAGGACCTCTTCTACCAAACTGCGATGCTTGGCAACTCGCAGCATGCACACCCCTGGAATCGAGCAGCACCAAACCCACATAATCCCGATTCTGCGAGTGCGAGAGGACCCTCGATTTCTTGAATTCGCAGTTTTGGATCCGACGAATTCCGGCCTTGAGGCTACGCTCGATTTCTTAACCCAAAGAAAGGGCTTCGAACATTAGCCAACCAGATCCCCCCAAAATGAGCCGCATGCAACAACGACTGCGGCAACCGAGCCCACGACGTTCCTAATTTGATTTGCGAGCTTGACCACTCTGGCGCGGGGCATCCTTAGAACCTCTACTGAGCCATCCATCGTTTGTGTAAAGAGCCTGTATTCAGCCCTGACCAGAACCCCGCAGAACAAGAAGTTGAGCCCCCCAATTTTCAGAAATCGAGCCCCTCATCAGTTTCTTATTTTGGTGGCTGTTAAGCCCTTGTTCAGCCCGTATTACGGTCTTATGAAGACTCATATAGCGCCTCCAGAGCCCTTCCAAGCTGCTATTCGGGCACCCAGAACCCCCCTCCAAAGTAGAAGGTGAGCCTTCATTTTCTTAAATTTACGATATCGAGCCCCGCAGGTTTTTTTTTGGGGTGTTTTTTATGGACACAGCTTTATCAGACTTTACCAAGCTGTTACTACTAAGCTACCTTGTTCAGGCCTTATCAAGCCTGCAAGAAGGAGCCTCCGGAGCTCCTCGAAGCTGGCAGAAAGGCCAAAAAAGCTCCCCTTGTTTTTTGGGTTCTGGGTGTGCTTCATCGTAACGGCACTGAGTAGTATTGAGGGGCTGGTTCTGGTCTCATATCCCTTGGTAGGGAAGCGCGGCCGCGGCTGCCCGGGTGCCTTTGGAATACCAAATCCAGTCCCTCAGTTTCTTGATCGGGTGTTTTTTTGAGCGAAGAAAACAAGCGACACAACATCGAGTGAAGCCCACTACGAAATTGGTACGCCGAGGTCAGGGTGCCCTAGATTTGTGATTTTCAATGTGCGAGTTTTTTGTTTGTTTTTTTGTCGCTCGGCTGTTTCTAAAACCCCATGATGTTTTCTTAAGCAGTGCTGTCGCTGCAAGTGGGGCCTCCTCAGACTCGTGAGCGTGGTCTCCAAGTTTCACCATGAGAACTGTGGACCTTGATCGCGTTGGCTTGGGGAAGTGCAGCATTCGGTTTGGGGTCAAAGCTTGCAAGCCAACCGTCACTTTCACGAATCTGACACTCAAGCTCCAGCAAGTTTTGAAACCTGCAATGATTGCAGTGCGGCGGCAATGCTTTCACGACAGTGGTTGTGATGCTGATTCCCATTTGCCGTAGCGACGAGTTATCCCAAATCTGGCGATGATGCTGATGCCGTGCTGATGAAGCTGAGAATAGTGAGGATGGAACTTGAAGATGAAAGGGATGAGATTGCTGGCGATGGCGATGGTGGCCTGGGTGATGGTGGTGATGATCACGATGTTGCTGCTGCTGATGATGGTGATGCTGACGACGATGATTACGATGATGTTACTCATGATGATCAGGCATAGGGACTACCTCCCGCGATGTGCTAATCTGCCGGTAGCACTTCATGATTCAGCCATGATTGTAAGCAAAGCACGCCACATTGCCAATCAGCACGAGGAAAGTTACCAGTGTCGACGTGTTCGTCAGCCACTCCTGGGCAGCTGATCGCTGGGCGAAGCTGTTGGCAATGTGCTTCTTTCTGAGCCATGGAGAGATGTTCGGACTTTTGAAAGTAGTTGTGGCTTCCAACACCACTCGACTAACGATTGGTACTCAGCTGGACAGTCCTTGTGGCTACGTTTGTCATCCATGAATCAGGGGAAGCAGTGTGCGCTAGCCCCGAATGTGAACAGGTCCGTTGGGTTTTCTCCGTTATGCTCTTCCTGTTGTTTATGATGCACGCTTGGCACCGTCATGGAACTGGCATGTCGATTACAAGTGCTGTTCTTATGTTGTGGGTCGGCTTCAGCCTCCAAGAAGGCCCAGCAGTGAGACTGAAACCCCGAAACCCCGAAGCTTCAGCCCTTGAGCTGAGAGATGTAGCACCTACCAGCACTACGATTCATGGTGGAACGGAGGAGCTGGCGGAGGTCACAGGGCTTCCGGGGTTCAGGATTGGGAGAGAGAGTTCGAGTGGAATTCCGACTTTCAGCATGTTGGGGCTGAAGCCCGAAAGCAAACGCAACCCTCAACCCGAAGCAGCCGAGGAATCTCGGCACAGCTATCAAAGCGACAGTTGCGGCCGTCATCCTTTCGGAGATTGTTGTGGCATTTCTGCCAGATCCCTCCCTTAGTGCCACGTGGCTTACTGCACGCCAAACGGGGTCCTCAATTCCAAGCCCGACCCTGACTGCCGGACAACGGGCTTTGTCGGTCTAAGACGCTGCAATCTCTTTTTTTGGGCGTCAGACTGATCCTGTGCACTCCTGGACTTCAAAAAACTCAGGTGATGTATTTCGCTGTGATGGATATTCCCATGCTCGCCTTCCTCTTGGCTTTCTTTTTCGGTCACCGACTCACGTGTGGGCTTTGGTGCCCCAACCTGTGGGTGGACAGGCCTCGGCGAATGCATCGAGCAAAGTCTTGTAACACAAAAGAGCATCAGCAGCAAGATGGCGACGATGGTTGTAGTACTGGCGGGGGACCTAGGAGCAGCAACAACAGCAACACTACAGGTAGTTAAGTCCAAGTACACGGTCGCAGATCAACTTTGATGAGTTATACATCCAAGACGAGGCACAGCACAGCAATGTCTTCCCAATTGCTGCTTCCTATAAGTACTGGTCGCGACTGCTTCGTAGCGACTAATAGCTTTGCGTTCTCGCCTATGCAGTTACCGGTTGCCATGTCACACGTCTAATGGCTCTCCACTGCCATGTCGGTCGGTGTCTGGCATTGCTCTGCTTCCATGTGGACTCGGCACATCTTCTCGGTCGTTCTTGCTTTTGCATTTGCAGGCTCTGCGTTCATCAGACGGACCCCTTATACAAGTCCAAAGGCATAGAGGGCCTGCCTACATTCGTGGCCTGCTCTTCGCAGTTGCTGATGCTGTGGGATCAGACTTACTTCGATCGTGCCTTGGCGCCTCAGCAAGCGCAAGTTTTATCGTGGCGGTGGAAGTATACAAACCTTCCCTTAGCCTTCTCGAGCAGCATTCCATCTTCGTGGTTGAAAGCCCTGAAAACAAGCATAAAGCTTGGCCAAAGGTCTGTGGTGCATGCTGGAGTTGTCGATCTTTGTGAAGTGCCGTGGTCTCAAGGGGTTACGGTTCGTTCCTCTGTGGCTGCCGCCCTGGCTGCTTGGCCAAATGCTGTTTGCCTACATTGGGTCACGGCTACTGGCAATTGCCGTTGCCTGTGCCCCGGACTCTGGCATAAACGACACTGCGACCTACCGCGCCGTCTACGGGGATACCTTTCAATGGGGAGTGCAGCGTTGTTTGTCTTATTTGCGGGACTGCCAGAGCTATCTTGTCTTCCTTGTTCCCTCTGTGGTAATCAGTGTTGTTTTTATGCCGCGGAAGATAGAGGGGCACAAGCTGATGCTGGAGAACATGCGATTGTTCGACATCCGGGATGCGAAGTGTGCTCTCGAGAGCGACCGCCGCACCATTCAGATGCAGGTCGCCGAGCTCTTCGATGGACTTGAGGAGCCCACGGTATCCGTAGCCCTCGATACTGAAAGCACATGCGAGAGCTGGGACGATGAGGTGGCACTGCTCCACAGCTACGACCCAGATCCTTGTCTTTAGCGTTTGCTTGTGTGCATAGACTGCCCCACGAAAGGTAGAACCCCAGCCGAAGCCCCGGGTCCCGGGTCCTAAACCGTCCGCTAACTCGTCGCGGTCTGGCCGCGTTTCTGCCGCGTCAGGTCCTTTCCCATGCCAATCGTTTGGCGGCGCGTGCTGCCACCGGCTGCCCAGACCTGGAAGCCTGCCTCAAGTCTTTCAACGAGCCTTGGCCGACGGCGCGTGAAATTCCAAAGAGAGTGCTGGAGAGAGGGTTTAGGACAGCAGTGTCCCAAAGGGTGGTGGCCTAGCGCCCGAGTGAGCAGTGACGAATGCATCATGATGATTGAAGAATGTGCAGAGTGAATGGCGGCTGAGTAGTGATAACCAGTGATAGTCAGAGCCTATTCAACAACAACCACTAATAGTCATGTTGAAGCAGGTAGACGTGGAATGTGGCAGTGTGTCGACGGTAGACCGTTGGACCGAGGAATACATCCGTACAGAACTTAGCAAAGCCATCGTCGAGGAGTTCGGAAGTGAGCTGGACCTGCCCTGGGCGATCTGTGCACTGACCTGCCTGCCACATACCCTGGGCTTCATTGGCTTGTCCTGGGCTGGGAGACCTCTCTTCGACAAGCTCGGTTTCGAATCTCTCGGGCAGTATTTGATCATCACGATGCTCCAGTACTGCAGCCTCGGTGTACTCTTTTTGCCTGTGGCTCACCCTATCTTGCTGCGAGTCATGAACTGGCTTGCTGCTGGACCAGCAGTGCTATCGAGCATAGCAGCGTTCGGCATGGGAGTTCTTACTTACAGCTTCCTGCTTTACTTCGACACCTTCGCGGCAGGGGCCGTGGAAGCTTTTGGTCTGACGATGCATCCAGCCTTTCTTTTTGCCTACCTGCTCCTGGGGGCGCATCTAAATCTTTGGAAAGCAACAGTGACATTACACATATCTTGCTAAACTCTGCACCCAGGGTTTCGCGAGCAGTGCTGTCATAGGGCATGAGATTTGCACCTTTTGTATGACTCACGTTAAACCAAGCCAAATGCTGAGGCTGTCTCTGTCCTTGATCGCCTTCATACACTTCCAGCTGTTCGGTCGTCCAAGATGGCAGGCCCGGCGCAGGCTTCTAGCATTCAGCTTCATACAAAGCGCCAACAGCATTCCCTCACCACTCAAAGCAGCGTTGAATTCCATTAGACAGTGCCCCAAACGAGCATTTCCATGGCCTTGGATTTCCTCTTTCGAACTTGAGACTTTCAACTTGGAACTCGAAGGTGAAGGCTAGGAGATCTTCGGAAGGCTACAAAATTGATGCCAATGAAAGCAGTCGGGCTTCTGTGCAAGATGTAGCTTGAGTATGCCCGAACCTTAAAGCTGGGGACATACACCCGCCCGCTTGCGGGTAAGGAGTTAAGTTTAAGTCAGTATCGGACACATCAGGATTGCAAATGATTCTAAGGCAGGTCCTGAAGACTCGGGGTGGTGCTTGTAACCTTTGATCAGACTCGCAGAGGACTAGAGCAGTAGAGAGAACCCGCACGACCTGCTTAGAAGGAAGTGGTCAGACCTTGCTCACAAGACTCCACAGAGTAAGAGCCGAACACCTCTTGTTTCACGCCATAAGCCTGAAGCGACCGCAAGAAGACCACTCCGGCAGCTCATCATAGCACCAGCAAAAACTACACGTTGATGATTGTGCATGTTTGAAGGGCCTACATTAAATCCAAACAGGTGCAGCGCAAGATCCCAGCCGATGCTGAAGACTAGAGCACCCATTTTGAGCCTTCCAGGCGAGGGTTGAACATGCCTCTTAGCGTCCGGTTCCTCATGTCAGTGGAACGGTGATGCAGTGCCACGAGTTTCGGAACTCGGTTGCGGGTTAAGGTGATGTCTCGCACCTTGCAAAGGGCTATTGAATTGCTCCTCACGGGCTGGTTGTCTCGTTTGAGCTCTGACGAGGAGATGTTCCGGTTGCTTGTTGTTTCCAACAGTGAGTAGGCCCAGCACAGCAGCATCCAGAGCCGCTCCTCAGAAGCCCAGTGGTGTACAGATGGACCGACCCTCATTTGACTGTTCCTCAATTTCAGAGTCCTTGTTCGCCAGCGATTTCTCTCCAATAGGGAGGGGCTTCCAGCTGTGCCCACGGACTGTTATATAGTCACTAGTCAGAGTCCTTTGTCTTGAACCTGTTGTAGTACACTAGTCTTCAACACGCTTTCAAACTACAAAAACTTGTCGGACGTTTTAAGGTCGGTGCTGTAGTCTGCAATCAATCGGACTCTGCTTTGAGCTTTCACCAGACCTTGGTAGCTGGTAGAGTCCTAGAGCATTATTTAAAGGCCATATCTTTAAACCTAAGTCTTGAACGCTAGCCCTAATCCTGAGCTCACTACACCGTAAACCGTATACGCCCCCATTCTTTGGTCACCCCCCCTTTTTGTCTTTAGAGCAGCTTGAAGGCAGAGATGCCCAAAGCATTTGGCCACAATCGCTGGCTGAAGTTGCTGGGTTTAGGCCCTTTAGGGAAGTTTAGGGATTTGGGTGATGGGCCCGAGCCTGTTTCGTTTCACGAAAAGCTGAGAGCCCATATCTGCCTGTGTCATCATCTTTCCTCAAAACGCGCGCCTGTGATGGTGGCTGAGGTGCTGAAGCCGCCACGAAGATCCAGTCTGTGCGGACTTGGCAGCAAGCAGAGATTTTGAAAGTTGACTTAGGTTCCCGCGGAAATCGGAGAATCATATGGCTTAAATAGATTCTGTCGAGCAGATCCTCTCATATCACTAAACCCCAAAACCCTAAAATCTCCCTAAACCCTCAACCCCTAAACCCCTGAACCCCGAACCCTAAAATCATCCTAGAGTCGCAGCCGAGGCAGCGTGGGCGAAAGGTGCGCTCCGAGGCTTCGAAGAAAGGCCACGGCCAGCGCCTTTCGAGATTCTTCGGCTTTCGTCTTTCCCGGGTTCAGAAGTCAAGAGACGAAGGCTTTGAGGACCGGCACTTAGGAGGATGATCCGGGGAAAATCGCAAACCCCAAAGACAAGGAAGTGCCTTTCTCTTCGGCGGCACGTCCTGACTTAGTAGCTTCTGAAATCTTTGACTTTTCTGATGTGCAATCCTTCCCTGAAAACTTGATTACCCTGCCAGTCTAAATAACACCAAAGACTAAAAGCCCCGAACCTTAGATAACCTTAGGACCCCTTCTCTAGCCCAACTCTTCATCAGGATCCGATCCCGGGTGTTTCATTAGGGATCCCCGAACCCAAAGCCTCCTCCCTCATCCCTTCCGAAGAGAGCTCTTCCGAAGGCAAAGCTCCAGCCAAGAAGGCAAGGTTGGCCTGATCGGACTTTGAGAGAGTCTTCAGGTGTTTTCCACGTTTTCATGCGTAAGGGCATACTTACTCTACGATACCTCATAACCCTGACCCAATCAGACACCTGCAGGATTGTAGAGGTTTCAGTGGAGTTTGGCGTTCCGGGTTCTGTCTTCAGGATTTCAGCATCTGACGTCGTACCGAAAAGAGAAGGCTGCTGGCCGCGTTCTGAAGTGTAGGGTTTCTCTGTTGAGTGCTGCAACCGTTGCAGTGTCCAGGATGGGTCAGCCCCTGTCCTGCTTCGGAATGCTGCGCCGGAGATAAACAGCAAGAAGAACCATATTCATTTGCTGTTTGTCATAGTGGTTCCCTCTACCCGACAGATCGACCCAACAGGTATGTGCCACAACCCGCTGTGATCATATTTGCAGCTACTTTGGTTTAGTGGTTGGAGGTTTCGAGGTTAGTAGGGGGTGTCGGGATTCAGGGTGAGAACCTTCTGGAAGGGAGCCTAGAGTCCCACGGTAGCTGTGATGTGCAGAGGATGGGGAGAATGTAGTTGGATGCCGTAGTTTTGGCTCTTCTACCTTGAGCTTCGGCTTTCGGTGCCAGGCAAACATCCAGGTGTCTGTGGGCGCCATGAACCTTGGCGTTTGAGCCTTCCTACGAGGCCCTGCCGGCTGAGAGCATCTAGGCCTTGTAGGTTGAGCTTCAGGGTTTACTAGGTTTACCCCTGTGCCGCAGATCGGTAGAAGTGTAAGTTATACTTGCTATCATACGGCCTGGAGGGAGGATGTCCTCAACACATGAGGACGGGGAATTCACGAAGGAGCTCCGTCGCGAACCCGTAGCACGGAAAATGAAGCAGCAAAGCCTTGGGGCCTTGCCTAACTTATTTACCATTTCGAGGTCTGCTTTCGAGACCTTCTAGGTAGGTTAAACCTGGAGGAAGCTTTAGTGGGGGATTGACCTTGGCGCTTGAAGCTCTCTGGGGTTCCTTCTGCCGTCGTCCGGATCTGTATTGCTCGGATTTACGGTTCATGCTTCGGCGTGTTTCAGAGTTCATGTCTGGTTAGTGCGACTTGAGTTTTACCGAGGCTGTGGGATGTTCTGCAGCAAGGTCGGCGTCTTTCGCCCGTGTGCTTTTTTGGCTCGCTTCGAGATCCCTCATTTGACTAGGTCCTGCGCGGGTTGCAAGTCTCTTGCTCTCCGCAGATAGAAGGACCGCGTGAAACTAACATCCAATCATGATTGGCTCGCTGATGACTCCGAGAACCATGACGTGTGCTGTTGCTCGGTGAAGACCTCTCCCACGGAAGACTTGTTGTCAACAAGTCATTTCCAGCAGAAAGTTCATTGACACTGCTCCGTATTGCCTATGTGGGTGACGTCTACCCTGTTTGGGTCAGAAGCAGTAGGTCCATGGTCAAGCTCGCCGTTTTGTTGCAGCTCATCATGTTGTCTCCTTTGACCTTCCTCATGGTAAATACCCAAAAGGGAAAAGGCACTACTGTAAATCCCACAGCCCTACATGATGTCGTGCCTAATGACAAACATGCGGCTTGCACCGACGGCCTCGGCCCCGTCATCATGCACCCCTGCAGCGACCTTTGCGAAGGCCCGGAGGCGAAAACCTAGTGCATGTAGAGTGTGGCATGCATCTTCTCCTTGCAGTTGCAGCTGCACTTCGTCAAGCTTCTTGCTTTCTGCACTCTGCTACCATTCAGAAATTCAATGCTACCTCACAGGTGCCTTCAGCATGGCGGCCGCAGTGGCGCTCTGACAAAGCCGTGACAATCGGGAGACTTGGCTCCGGAGCGCGAACTTCGGAGGAAGAGTCACTGCCAATGCTTACATTGAACGACGGAGGCTAGTTTGGCAAGTCATCTGCGTTGATGTCATGTTTAGCACATTGAGATCTGAAGACCAGAGAATCCTGGAGCCTGTTTGTCGGTTGTCCACGTATGCCAGTTTTAGTAGGTGCAGCTGCTGGATTCCCACTCCTGGAGCCCTTTTTCGTTGCCCTTACGCATTCTGAGTGCCATGGAGAAGACAGAAATCTGTTGCAATGAAGTTGGTCGAACCAGGCGTCCCCACAGTCCCAAGCTTGAGCATCCCGAGCGGGGAGTCCGATCGTGAGCTAGTATTAGTAGTGGTTAAGTGGAGTGACCACTCTCCAAGCATGCCATGCAAGATTTGGTTCGGTACTGTTTTGGCGACAAAAGGGAAAACGGGATAAACGACAAACGAGAGCCGGGGTGACGGTCGGGTTGGATCCCTGGTTTCGTGGATATGTCCCGCATTCGAGTCCTCAAGTCTCTGAAGCCCAGGAGCCTGGGTCTCGCGCTGAGCACCTGCGGCACAGTTACGTGGAGGGGACGGCCGTGTCGAGGCCCCGGCAAGGATTGGATATGCAGACAAACAAACACACACACACACACACACACACACACGCACTCTCTCTCTCGCGCTCTTTTTAAATACATAAATAAATATAGGTAGATATGCACATGTATATTTTGTGTCATATACATATACAAATACATATACAGATATATACATCCACCTATATGTATACATATACGTATACACACACACATATATATATGTGCATATACATATATATATATGTATATATATATACTATATTATATTATAT